GCTCGTATTTAGCTCCTCATCAACCACGTGTTTCTACAGGAAAAAAAGCGCTTCCGGTTGCGGCACCCCACCCCCACAAATTATTATTAAATGGATCAAAGTGAACTCATTAAATTCAGTCAGACTTGATGGGACTTATGTATGTAAACGTTTTGATTAATTCTTATATTGTATTAATTGTCAGCAGATCTAGCATGACGCATTTAATAGGCATTATGAATGCCCAATAAATTACAATAGATGTGTCCTAAAATTATTACAAAAAGTGTATGTTAATAGAGTGTACATGATTTACCATGTCATATTTGTAGTATCAGATTACTAATTGCTACGTAATAGCATTGGTACATTTAAACAGTTAAGTACGATACTGCTGATAGTTTAGTGGAGATAATGTAACCCGCCGCCCTTATCAACATGCCTGCGGTTACGTTCCTGTTTGTGTCGATCACGTGGTTAACATACGACACTCTCATTGGTTTAACCTTCGAAGGCAGAGAGATGTAAACGAAGTGGATTTCTGCAAGTTGTCGGGATACACGGACTGTACTTTAGAAGCACAATGAGAGTTGTAATAGGTATATCACTTATATTCATTTTCGCATTGTCACTGCATGATAGCGTAACAAAATAATTCATTTCGAGTGCTACTGTGTAACACTTAGAGCCTCCTGCGATATAAACATAGCTCTGATATTAACATATTTAGAGTATGTAAAGAGTGAAATATCCTGTCACCTTCTTTGAACGCATAAGATCTTGTTCTTATAGCATGACTGGCTTCGTTTATCAGTTGGTTACAGTATAAATGAGAATTACATTTTGCTTGAGGTGATCTAGCTGTTTCGTAAATGCTTTAACAGCGCGTGCGCGGTATGGTTGCAAACAGTAATTATGCAAAAATGTCACGATTTGATCCAAATTGCTGTACAGTATGGGAAAAGACCTACACTCCATATTCTAGTTGCTATACTGTGAATACAGTTGGATACTTTTGCCCCCCAACCAATCCCTTTTTTACCACACTGGCTCTATTTGATTGAAACATTAATAAAGCTTGATTTTTTTCACCTTTTCACTGTCATCAGGCGGAGGATCAGGGTTTGTGGGTCGTGAGCTGACACGGTTGTTGAAAAGCAAAGGTCATGAAATCACACTTATATCCAGGCAGCCTGGCCCAGGAAAAATGACATGGGTATGGTTTAACTTACATGTAAGATATGCACTAAAGTCGACTTTTAGTTAGTTAATCTATATTTACTTTTAAGTTCAAGCTGAAGTAATACCTTGATATTAACCTGATTACAATGTTATTCAGTATTATAGCAATGATAATGAATTGCTTTGTAATGCCCAGCTCTGGAGTCATTCATGTGTAATGTTAAAATGCCTCTTAAAGGTAAAGTTAATCTAAATGTTGCATTTTGGTAAGTTTGACTGAGGCTTACCTGTCCTAACAGGCGGATGTAGAGTCAGGAGGCCTCCCGCCATGTGAGGGCGCTGTGAATCTAGCAGGGGAGAATATTATGAATCCTTTAAGATGGTAAGGATTTTGTTCATAGTGACAATGTAAATAAGTGATTGCATCAAAATAATGAGTTCTTCTTTTTAATATGGTTATGTTCATATCATTTTAATGTTTTCTCTAGGTGGAATGAAAGTTACAAAAATGATCTGGTCTCCAGCCGAGTAAACACAACCAGAATTCTTGCCCAAGCTATTGCTGCTTCACCTACTCCACCACATTCATGGGTGCTTGTTACAGGAGTAGGTAAATAACAGGTGTTTAATAGCTAGATATAATATTATATACAAACCCAATTCCAAAAATGTTGGGACACTGTACAAATT